TGATGGTTGTTGGAATTTGAAACGTACTTTGAACTGCTTTTGTGGTCTGCCCCGTGCTCCTGTAGAGAAAAACCCATGTTCTATGATCCTATCAATCTCATATTGTCCGTCCATGGATGGGGGATTCATAGATGGTCTGTTTGGAAAATCATCTCCTTCTACATAGGGCAACAGTTTAGACGCATGAAAAACAGAATAAGTTCTGAGATGAGAAGGGATGTCAATTCGATAAGAAGGTCCCTCTTCATCTCTTATTACTTTGAGAACTTCCCAAGGTCCAAAGTAGACGGGTAGCAGTTTTTGAAATACGTTTTCTTCGAGTGAAAATTCCTTTGACTTAACCCAAACAAAATCTCCTACTTTAAAGGTAGCAGGCCGTCGATGCTTATTGGCCTGAATAATCATTTGTTCTTGGGCTCTCTTTAGATTTTCTTTCACCTTCTTGATATCTTCTTGAAACAAAACTACTTACTCTCTTGTCCTTGGTGGTAACCTCAAAATTTGGTCCCGGGTTAGTTCATCAATGGGACGTCTGGGTTTCCAACCCTTGTGCAGTGCATTAGGACTTCGTCCGGTAGCGGTATGTACACTACTGTTATATGCACTGGCAATCTTGGGTAAGTTCTCATCCCAATCAACTTGATCGGGTCTTACATACATTCGCAAGAGCTGTTGGCACAAATGGTTCATCTGTTCGCTTTGTCCATTCGTTTCAGGGTGTCGCCCTGATGTCATGGTCAATCGCGTACCGTATGCTTCCATCAGCTTTTGCCATGGCATACTTATGAATCGAGAATCTCTGTCAGATACGATAGTCAAGGGAAATCCATACTCGGTTACCCATCGCATCTGAAACTTCTGAATCACAAGTTCAGTTTTAGCTTCAGCAGGTAAGGGAATAAACATAGCATACTTAGAGAAACGATCTACAATAACCATAACTTGACTATTTCCATTGCGACTTTTGGTGAGAGTCATAAAATCCATTGAAATCGACTCACCTGGTTCACTAGGGATCGGCAATGGTCTAAGTAGTCCAAGCGGGTTCTCATGTGAAGGTTTGTTTCTCTGGCATACTAGACAAGTGCGGACGTACGTAAGTACATCTTCTTTTAAACCCTTCCAGTCAAAGCGTTCTCTTACCTCAGCGTAGATTTTCTTGAATCCAAAGTGTCCCTCAAAATCATGACACTCCCCAATTATCATACTTTTAAGTTCTTCTTTATGAGGAGTGCATAACCTTTGTTCAGTTTGGTCAATCAAGAAAAGTAAACCGTCGACAATCTTATACTGGGGAAGTAGTGAAGGGTCTTTGACCATGGTGTCCAGGATAGGTTTCCAAATAGGATCAGTGGCATATCCCTGGCGTATCTGCTCTTTCAAATTACTTCCCACGTCTAGATAGGAGACAATAGTGCCAAAGAAGTCACTTCTTCTGGAGAGAGCGGCTGCAACTACATTAGACTTTCCTTTGATAGTTTCTAGTTCAAAGTCAAAGGTGTCGAGGAATGCAGACCATCTTACCAGCTTATCAGAAAGCTTTGGCTGTGTCTTTATCCACTGCAAGGTAGAGTGGTCTGAATACACAATGAAATGTCTTCCTAATAGATAGTGCTTCCATGTTTTCAGAGCACAGACTAAGGCATACAATTCCCTTTCATAAGTGGAGTTGGCGACTTTCTCAGTAGGCAAACGGGCAGACATAAACTCAATGGGTCTGTATCCTTTGCCATCGTCTTGTTGTAAGACGGCGCCAATCCCATACTGACTCGCGTCAGTTGTGACAATGAAGGAAAGAGAAGGGTCAGCAATTTTTAAGACGGGATAGTGAGTTAATGCATATTTCAGTTTCCTGAATGCAGACTCACAATCTTTGTCCCACAACCATATCATTCCTTTTCTCAACAGTCTTCTCATGGGTGCAGCTATTTGTGAAACATTTCAAACGAACTTTCGGTAATAGTTGGCCAATCCAAGGAAGGATCTCAACTCAGTGACAGTCTTGGGTTGTGGCCAATCTCGAATTGCTGAGATCTTCTTTTCTTCAGGCCGGAGACCTTCTTCGTTCACTGTGTCCCAAGTATAAAACTTCAATCCTAGCGAACTCGGATTTCTTGGGATTCAACTTGAAGTTACCCTCGCGTAACTTCCCAAGTACTAGACGTAAATGTTTTTCGTGATCTTCTAGTGTCTTACTATACACTAGAATGTCATCAAGATAGACAATGACGAACTGATCTAACCTCTGACGAAATAATTCATTCATGGATCTTTGAAAGGTCGCTGGGGCGTTGGTCAAACCAAAAGTCATTACCATGAACTCGTAATGGCCATACCTTGTTCGGAAAGCAGTCTTGTGCTGATCAGCGGAATCTACTTCAATCTGGTCCAAACTTCAAGTCGATCTTGCTGAAATACTTACAGCCCTGCAACTGGTCCAACAGATCATCAATACGTGGTAGGGGTTCG